CTGTTGGTTCTCTCCAAAAAGAAACAGCATGTTCATCTGTCAACACGTTTTTTGAAACAACAGTTCACTGTAACAGCGAGTGATTCAGCTAGTATAGTTAGCAGTCTCTTCTGGAAAAAATCAACAAAGCACTGAATGTCATGGCATGATCATTCTCTTGTGCAGACAAAAAACCTGAATCAACCAAAACCAACAGAATGGCCTTTCAATGAAAAGAAGCACCTCAAAGAGCTGCTTGCCAAGAACCCTGCATCTTTCAATGGAGAAGCTGCTCTTCATAGTAGGAGCTACTAAGCTTGGCTCTAGAAAAGCCTGTCTCAGTAATGGTTCATAATTTAACACTGCCCCTTAGTTCCATGGCTCCATTTAAACAGCATTGCCAAGATCTCCTCTCAGGCTCCACTAGCTCCCAGAGGCAGATGCTGAGCTGTACAATCATCTCTCCTAGAAGTGGGTCAAGGTCATATCCTGGTTTTCACCTACCGTGAAGGACCAGTCCCACCCACCTCCCAGCACGCTACCTAGAGGTCTCTCTGCAGACTGTGTCAGTGGTGTACAGACAGCAGCACCCTCACCTGCTAGGGTTCAGAAAGGGAGAAATCACGTGCAGAGATCCTCCATGCCCAGATCTGCCAAACACAAGTCTTGCTTATATGGTTACGCTACTCAGTGCTGTATCTTACATCCAAAACTGAGCTTTACTTTCATCTAAAGAAAATGTAGGTGGCACAATCACCTGTTTTCCTACAGGTAAAACAGAACAATTATTTGAGGACTCTAAAAGTTGTTCTGCAAATATTTGGATGATTGCATTTAGTTAACATAGCTATTTCAGTATCAACCAGCTGTTTTCTAGGGACAGTTCACCTCTTAGAACAGATACAAACATTACTTCATTAAGCAGCTATATCAATAAAATTAGATTGCTACTGGGTCTGCTAAGACTCTGATAAACCACTACACTATAATATGCAGACAACATCCAACATGACACATGCAAGAACCCGACTTTTAGTCCCTACAGATAATATGAATGTTGAACCTACAAGTTTTTCCCATTGCTTCAGAGCACAGGAGACCTCTGACCTTTACCTATGTTCTCATTCATTTTTACGCAGACTGTTCTGAAGTCAAAATCTAGTATGTTTGTGCAACATTAACCGAACACTATGCTTTTGAGCTGTATATATAGGTGGTGGCTCGCTAACAGATTCATTAATATGCTCTGTCAAGAAATATATTCACTTTTAAGAGAATGTGCTGAAAAACAGACTGGGAATATTGAACATTGAAACAGGCACCTGTGAACTGACAGTCCTTTCTCTTGTGGTTTCTTGTGTCAAAACAAAACACAATCCCTCCCTCTCTGTTTTTTGGTAACACCATTCTGTTTCAGCAGAAAAGCATTTTTAACATCATGGATAAAGTATCACCAGCGTTGGAACATCTTGGATTACAAGCAATAGCCTCCTTAGGCAATCACTTATGCAACACAGAACAGCATCTTTCCAGTCACCCACTAAAAGGATGTTTTAGACATGATGTAGAAAAGAAGTGCCATTTCCTTCCTTTAGGAAATCTACAGCAATCCCACATCAAAATTAGTGTACCAGGGCACATTAAGCCAGAAGGCGGCAGAAATAAGAGAAAGAGCTGCTGTTATATAATTTGTTCTTCAATGATTCAGCTGAAATACTGAAAAAGAGATACCTACAATACATAACATCACTGGTAAAACTAACTTCCACCATGAAGACAAGAAGGTGTGTTGCTATGGGAAACAAATGAGAGGCTAAAATCAGCACAGAGGTCTACCACACTTCATAGATTTCCAAGAAACAAAGAAAGCATGATTCCTAGCAAATGAAATCCTAGGGTTTCACAGATTTTTCTGCCTGTAGCCCTATTTCTGTCAAAGTCCCACTAGGATAGAAAGGTTAAGAACCTTTACATTATTCCTGTAAAACGTAACATTTTTTTTGGCAATATTTGCTACTTAATTTTATAACACTTTCAGACTCCATAGCCTCTAATAAGGAGATTAATCACTTGTTAATTGGGCAAGTAACTGGTTGCAACAATCAACTTGTGTTTCTATCTGATGACAAATTCCTATTCTGTCTTGCTTCTTATGGTTCATAAGGTAGGTGACAGAAAAAGGAGAATCAAATTTCATTGACATTTCTGACATACAAATTCACGGTTCATCTGAAGTCTATTAAGCTGTCTATAAAGAATGAAGCTTGTCTTGTTGCCTCAAATCTAGGAAAAAGTAATTTGGGGCATTAGTTCAATAGATTCGGAATATTTTGTACACTAATGGTTAAGTAAGCAAAGCGCTGGTAAAAAACTGATAGTGATATTACCTACAGGATGGAGTGTGGTCAACCAGTACAAATAACTATCAGTTAATCTGTCATGTTTTTACAGTACAGTGCTTATAGTAAAATAATCCAGTTAGTTGATTTCATAATGAAGTCTTTGACCTCCTGCCCTATCCTAGATGATTCAGGATGTCTCATGTTATGAGCAGATGGGAAAAAAAAAACCCAAACCAATAATGTCTGGTTCTACGAGAAGAATTTGGTGTGCTTTAGACCATTTTTTCTACTTGGATAGTTACAATATTTATTTCTCTTCTGTAAGTTTGCTAAGATTGACAATGGTAAGCACATGTTTTATAGCAGCACTGACTGTAACACAGTCAGGCCACAGGGCTTCTCAAAAGTAAGCTGAATTATCCAGAATATCAAAGCTGAGCATGATGATTTGTGGCTAATATTTATACACTCGCAGGCCAAGAAGCTATTCATCCCAGTGAAGCAATGCACAGAGTACCTTTGAGCCTATTTCCAAATTATTGCTTTTCCCTTCAGGATGAGTCCAATGATCTTTGCAGCCTATCCAAGCTCCTTTCCATATCAATGGAGAGAGCTAGGTATCTCTGAAGACCTTTTGACAGTGGTTCAGAGATGCTAGAAGAGGAAGATACTTTCTTGTTGATTATGTATCGAGCCCACAGCTTGCCTAATATGTTGTGCTGAACTGTGAGTCATCTAGAGCTGCCAGTAGGAAGTGGTAGGCAACGGGTTGTGTCTGAGCAGGTGTCTGACTCACAGCATTATCATGAGGTATCATCATCCATGTAAGACTGAAAACGCTGAATTTTTATAAAAGGGATGCCTATGTAACAATAGCACTAAGCCACTACACACAGATCATTCAGGAACTGTACAAGCATGGTAATTTGCTTTCATGGACCAATGCTCTATTTATAATGGAAACTATGACCAGAAAATATGTTTTCTGGCATGACAATCTAAATGTTAAGTATTTATTAAAATGATATAGACAAAGACTTTCATTACATGGCACCAAACTAAGTTTCAGAACACAAACTGGAAATGTAACCTTCGATACAGAAGTAAAATCTCAGGAGTCAGATAAGAACAGAAAAAATCTCACTATGCACAAGAGTCCAGCAAACAGAGACCAAATATTTATTTTTATATAAGATCTGCTCAGCGTCTTCATGCATAAGTCACCTTGCCACTCCCTCAGCAGTTGAAGATTTCATGATAGCCCTCAGCTTAATTATACACTTCCTCAGCTTGGTGATTAACTTCCAGGAAACACCTTAAGGCCTGACCTTGAGAATGTTTCACGCACAAAAAGAAAACCACATGAGAAGTGCCTTCATAGTATCCCCATATCAATATTTGTAATACATGATTGTAGGATTGATCAAGACACTGAACCCTATTTTTAAGCATAATAAGAGAAAATAACCCCTCTGCATTTACAGACATTTAAAATACAATTAAAAAAACCAGAACTATGAAATTTGCACCCACAGCATTATACAGGATTTGGGAGGAATGCTTCCTACACTGTCCTGTGATCTATGAAACTCTGGACTTGTCAACACTGGCCTTTGGGTTAGCTATTCATACCTTTAGCACCTAGACATGCAATATACCAGGGAAAAATGCATTTAGCACCTCAGAAATTCTAGCTGTTAGAGTAACACAATATATTTCAGCAACACCTGCAACAACAAGCCTGGACTCCATTCTCCCAGGACTATGTCATTAAGTTCTGAGTCTGTATCCTATTTTCTAGGACCTGATGGTCCAAGGCAATTTATCATATATATGCTAACTACCGCTTTGATTGGTCAACGACTTTAGCCTGCATTGAGGAGAAAACCCATGTCTATGAAGACAGAACTGTCTCAAAATCAGTCTTTACTTGAGGAGTGAACTCCCTGGGAACTACAGTCCATCCAAGAACCTCACTCGTAATCTCATGACTTTCCATTCTCAGTAAAGGTGGGGGTTTTCCTGCCCATACCTTCTCAGATGAGCATTCCAAATCACGTGCATATTAAATAAATAAGAAATTCCAAACCAAGAGGAATTCCTCCTGAAGAGACTTTCTGCCAACCTTCTGAAACAGGACAGTGCATCCATGTGTGGGAGAAGTGAATTATCCTCGGTGCACTTTGGAGCGACACCTTAGATGCTACAGAGGCCGGAATTAGGTAGGTACAAAATGAGGTACATTATAAGCAGAAGTGGTTTATGAAAGAGCTACCGACTCCTAGCAAACAGTTGTTTGGGGTTTTTTTTAATATTCTTTTACTTTCTGTTCCCATGATAATCTTTCGCATGTATATGGAGATAATTTTAAAATGGGGTACCGTTATAAGTTTGGTCTCTCTCTGAAACACAGCGACGTTCTGAACTCTGCTCCCCACCACCCTGTAATTACCTATTTTTGTAGATGCCGTGAAACCCGCAGCTTCACCCAGCCCCGGCTGGCTGCTCCCCCGCCTCCCGCACGCCCACAGGTGCCGCGACACGGCAATGCCCGCGCTGCAGCCACGCGCCCGCCCGGGCTGTGCAC